TGGTCAGGGCGGAAGGGAGGGTCGGGGTTGACAAGTCTGGAGCCGGCAGGGGCCTGCCTCAGTTTCCCTCCCTCCCTGCCCGCAGACGACAACATGGAGTGTGTGGACAGCGAGCGGAGGCCCCACTTCCCGCAGTTCTCCTACTCGGCCAGCGGCACGGCCTGAGGCGGCCAGCCCGGTGCTGGTGACCCGCGGGCGCCACAGGCTGGACGCCGCCTCCGTGGGTCGGGAGGTGCCCGCAGCGCCGATCTGGAGTGAATGTTTCTCTCTGGAGGCGATGGAGGGACCTCCGTGCCGTGGGCAGGGCTGTCCGCACGCAGGGGAGGTCCTGCGGTTTTTCTTAATTTATTTCATCCAGTTCTCCAGACGTGGCCTCGCCTCCGGACGGATTCCCGTAGGAAACGGGGGACTCCTGACCCAGATGAGAAAGAGCAACGGAGAACGGCCTTGGCAGCAGTGGGCCGAGCCTGCGAACCCGGCACCAGCTCAGGAGGAGCCAGCAGGTCACGGCCGCGCAGAAAGTCGAGACACAGCCGCCCTGTGCGGGGACGGCCGCCGCAGGAGAGGCGGTCCCACAGCAGGAGTCCCGCTGGGCGCGCCAGAGGGTGCCGGGTCCAGACCAGACCAGACACGCTGCGTCACGAACGTGGGAAGCCGGGGAGCCGGACAAACGGGCTCGGTCCGCGTGAGCCAGGGCGGAGGAGGACGTCGGAGCTCAGGCAGGTGTCCTAAAGCTGTATCTATTCTTACATTTATTTTTACTGATTTCAGAGAGGATGGGAGAGGGAGAGAGAGACACACACATCAGTGATGAGAGAGAACCATCGATCGGCTGCCTCCTGCACGCCCCACACTGGGGATGGAGTCCGCACCCAGGCCTGTGCCCTGACCGGGAATCGAACCCTGACCTCCTGGTTCATAGGTTGATGCTCAACCACTGAGCCGGGCCGGTCGGGCCTAAAGCTGTGTTTTTAAAAAGGCAGATACATGTGACCCTATAGAGATATTACATTGTGTGTGAGAAAAGATACCGCCAACAAACTCAACACGAACGTGATAAATTTGGAGAAATACAGACAGACAAACGCTGGACATCCGTCACATACAAAGGCTCTTGGAAACGACAAGAAACCGACTTGTAAAACCCAACAGACAGACGGACGGAATGTACACCAGCCGCTCCCAGAAGAGCAAAGACCCAGGTAGACAAGGGTGGACGCCCTGGCTGCCCCGCCCCCCCACCTTCGGCCGCAGGCGCCGCTGATGCGCCAGGGCCCAGGGGTCCCGGTAAGGGCTGGCAACCCTCCCCTGCTGATGGTGGAAAGGAGAATCGTCCAGCGCCTTGGGAGGGAGTCTGTCCACCATAAATACAATTAAAGCGACGAGTGGACATCAGTGCCCGGGAAGGAGACCCCGCCAGCGGCCTGGTGCTGCGCTCTTCACGGTGACACAGAAAACCGGGGCTCCGGTACCACGCACCGCGTGCAGGCGCTGTTTCCCGCCCGCGCCTGTGGCAGCAGATCGCAGCGCCAGCCCTTGTAGAAGTTCCATCGTCGTTAAGGAGACAGAAAATGAGCGACTGAATATACCTAAAATGCCGGCCAGTGGTCAGTACGAAGACCGAAACCGTCTCAGGAGCCCTGGCCGGTTTGGCTCAGTGGGTAGAGTGTCAGCCGCGGACTGAAGGGTCCCGGGTTCGATTCCGGTCAAGGGCACCTGCCTGGGTTGCAGGTTCAATCCCTGGCCCCGTAGTGGGCCTGCAGGAGGCAACCGATCGATGTGCCTCTCACATCCATGTCTCTCTCTCTCTCCTTCCCTCCCTTCCACTCTCTTTTTAAAATTTTTTAAATATATTGTTGATAGTATTACAGATGTTCCCCCACACACACTCTCTCTCTTAAAATCAATGGGAAAAATATCCTCAAGTGAGGATGAACAAAAACGTAATAATAATAAATAAAATAAAAATCAAATGTTGGCCAGTGGTCAGTAATGAGATAAAATATAACTTGGGAGAGAAGAGGAAATTCAGAAACCATTTCCACCTACAATAGCTCCTACAGGAATGAGCTGTTTGGGGGTGAAGCTACCCCGGTGCTGGGGGCCTCCCACAGGGGCTGGAGGGAGTGAGAGGAGGCGGGTGAGGGCCCGGTAAAGAGATCAGTTCCAGCCGGGCCGGGTGGCTCAGTGGGTAAGCATCACCCATGAACCAGGAGGTCACGGTTCGATTCCCCGTCAGGGCAGGCTTGATCCCCAGGGTGGGGCGTGCAGGAGGCAGCCGATCCGTGGTTCTCTCGTCATTGATGCTTCTCTCCCTTTCCCTTCCTCTCTGAAATAAAAGTATTAGAGAGAGAGAGATAGAGATAGGGAGGGAGAGAGAGAGAGAGAGAGAGAGAGAGAGGGAGGGAGAGGTCAGCTCTATCCGGTCCCAGATCTATGAAAACCCCAGCAGCCTCCCCCCATCGCGAGTTGCCTCCTGCACGTGCAGGGTCCAGAGGGGAGGTGGGGTTTGCACGGAGAAGCCCCCCCACCCTCCGCCCCAGCAGCCA